GAATTACATTAGTACTACTAGTACTAACTACCTAGGTGAGACCTGAGGTATCAAAATCCATCCACCATCTCAGCAATTTGACAAATCAGTGTAGCATTCTAGTAGGATGCTAGGGTCAAGTGTATACAAGCACAATTAGTACTATTGATACTACTAGTACTAGTAGCATTAGTACAGATTTTTTACAAATTCTATAATAAGCATTGATAATTATCTATGATATGCAAGTTCACACTCTCTGTTGGATTTTGAGTGATATTATCAGAAGGTTTAAGAGCAACAAGAACATAAACAGCCTCAAACAGATAAAACCCACAGCAAGCAAGTGTATGTACCTCATTTTGTTCAAAAATCGAGGATACAGTCGTAGATTTTGGGCCCTTATTTTTGCGTGTAATGACTAATTTGACTAAAAACTGGCTTCTACTGCAGTTTACAGCAAGACATGTGCTGAATTTTTGTATCCAATCAGTGTGGAATCAAATAGTTTCAGTCTTGCAACCAAATAGTTTAGCTTGCATTGTTATCACCTAGATTGCCTACTGATTCCTACGTACATACATACCTGACCAGCTCCTTCTGGCTTCCAAACCCACCATGGTGACATCCCCTTTGGAAGGGGAAAACCTGCCTCCCTGGCTTCTATTCAAGCACTTTAAACAGCAAGAAGSAATCTAACCAAGACTATTCCAAGTATATCAATATCTCCCTTGTCCCCAGCCTCAGCTGGTGGATCCATCCCCTGTTCCTCTGGAAGTATCTTCCAGTGTTGAAGTTGTTGGTGTTCCGATACTGTGTTCTGACACGGTGTTCTGACAACAACAACAACCCCAGCCCCCAGCATTCAACCAACAAGACCTAATGCAGAACAAAGCCTGGAGTATATGCTACATACATACTCAGTCTAAAGAAGACACCAGCCTTATCTCCATGCAGTTCCAGTTTTATTTACGGACTGGAAGAAGATTCTGGGTCACAATGTTGTTGTTGTTGTTTCCACCATTCATGCCAGACAGCAATAACAACAACCCCAGCCCCCAGTATTCAACCAAGACYTTCTGAAGAACAAAGTCTGGAGTACATGCTAAACCATACTCASTTAACAGATTCCCCAGCATCTCCATGAAGTTCCAGTATTCTACGGACCAGAAGCAGATTCCAGTCATATTGTTCTTGATGTTGTTTCTGACATTTGTGCCGGAAAGCAACAGCAGCAAGCCCAGTYGATACTGCATCAATCAGTATCAGTCCCAGTACTATTCCCCCCAGTTGAGTGCTTTGCCTCAGCTTAATCCATCCCCAGTTCTCAAGGATYGGAAAAAGATTCTGGTCACGATTGTTGTTGTTTCAGACATTCATGTTGGAAAACAGCAGCACCAACCATAGTAGCCCCCTGTATTCAACCAAGATCTATCCTTTGAGGAAAATGTCTGGAGTRTGTGCTACACCATACTCAGGTTTACAGAAGATTCACCAGCCTTATCTCCAAGCAGTTCCAATATTTACTGAGTGGAGCAAGCTTCYGGTCACRATGTTGTTGTTTTCAACACTTGTGTTGGATCACAGCAACAACCACCTCTTGCAGCGCAACTGCACCAACCATCACTATTTTAACCTCCATCTCCAAGGGTTTGTTTAGCAACAATATCAAGATGTCCTACCAACTGTCTTCTTTTTTTTAATTCTTTAGGCTTTTMTTTTTATTTTTTATTTTTATGACTACTCCAACACCTGTGTCTTTGTACACTGCAAGGGTGCTTGCCTTAATTGGCTTGACAGTGTGCTTTGCACTCATTTCCTTGATCACTGCAAGGACTTGCCTTATGGCTTGGCAGTGCACTTTGAAATGATAATGGCATGGTTTGCATCCATCTAAACTGTGAACCGATTCCTTCTATGTCCTSTGAATCCAGAGACCTGCCTTAATTGGTTTGTCAGTGTACATAGAACTCAGTCGCACCTCCACAAAACCTCTTGAGAGGTTGAGAGGTTGAGAGGGAGGTGCCACCCCTCAGTGCAGCTAGTAGGAGCATTCTTCTCCCTAGTCCAGAGAGGCTCTGGTTCTGGCCATATAGTGCCTCTTCTAGTTCATGAGGTTAAAGATAATATTAATATTTTTTTCTGGAAAAGTCTTGTTCTTTGTTGAGTAGGAGAGGTTTCCTCCAAAAGAATCTCCTCTGTGAGTCTTCATCCTTTCATGATGTTCTGAAATGTCTGCCCTTGCAAYGAAAAATTTTGGAATGTGTCTTATTAGTAAATCTCAGTGAGAGTGCTTACCAGGATAAATGTCTCTTCTTATCTGCTGTTACCTGCTGGGACTTGAGCACTGACAAAACTTGAAAGTCTTCTTTGAATCTTTTTTGCAAATAGCAAGACCCTTAAATTGACACTATTATTCATGTCAGTAGTCAGGAAAATGAACATCAAGCTCTGCTTTCTTATTGGATGCAAAAGTGGTTTCAGAAGCATCACGGCACAAATCATGAGTGACAATAGACCTTTCTTGGTGTGAAGGATGAGATTCTTAAAAGGATATGAAATGAGGATGGAGAATATCTGCTGCCCTGGGAGCTCAACCAAAGAAGTGATTCTTGAGGTCTCAGCTGTAACAGGATCAGTGAAGTCTAATTCTTTCACAATTGGAGAAAAAAATGCCCCTTGTTTTGATACAAATCATTTCCTCCCAGATGGCCTTGATTATTTTACCCTCTGTTGATGTCTGCCATGGCCAAATRAGGTTGCTCTAACTTTTTATTCTTATAAAAGCATATAATACTGGTACAGGTGGAACCTTCTTTGCTGCTTTGACAATGTCATTAAGAGGGAGGTTTCTATCATAGAGCTGAGAGGAACTTCCCCTTTCTGGTGAAGTAAGACTTGGGAACACTGTTTGCCTTGACTGAAGATCTCAATGGTATCTTGCTGCTTTCTGAACCTTCTTCAGATCCTTCTTGCACCAAGAAGATCTTTCACTACCTCAGCAGACCTCACCTCTAAAGGATTTCCTTTGTGATGATTGGTTCAGCCCTTGCATACACATAGGATTCCCCTGACAATGGCCAGATAGTATTCACCATGGAATCTTTGTCTACTTGTGGAAAACCAAGACTGTCAAGGAGCTGTTCAGAAATCTTCTTCTGAGTATAAATCTTATTAGTGCACTGCTGTACTAGTATAAGACTGCCAAAGAAAAAAACGTCCAAAGAAGGAYCAACATAGAAGAAGGAACATTACTTGCTTCCATCACTGTGACATGAAAATTTGGACAACAATGATCACATCATCAATATCACTTACAAATCCACTATCAACATGGAATAGATCAAGACTCACCAAGTAGATTTTTTCTGAAGGAATCTCTTGCTCAACAACAAACAAGGAGGCTTTAAAAGTGGTATCCAGATGAAATAATTGCTGAGAATGTGGATGGAAGGAACAAAGGAGTTCTGAATGAGCCTCATTTGTAGTGACTTGTTTAGAATTTATTTCTGTACTATTTGTAATAATACTGTGTTCATATACTCCTTAAGACTACACATTGTGATCATCACACTTATTTATTTGTCACAAGGAAGATAAATTGTGAAAAACTACTATTAGGAGGAGATCTTCTTTTTCTTTTGTTTAGTTGCAGAGATAGACAATATTAGAAAGTTGGATCTTTTGGTACTAGTGTAGTAGCAATTCAGTAGAACTGTTTACATGTTCTTTCTAGTAGGTAATGAAAAATTGATTTTCTCACCATCATTTGCACAGTACGTAGTTTCCCCTTGGATAAGTGGAAATTTTTCACAAGTTCCATTTTCTCAAGAGGATGGCATAGTAGTAGTAGTAGTAGTA